TCTCTCTCTGTCTCTCTCTCTCTCTCTCTCTGTCTCTCTCTCTCTCTCTGTCTCTCTCTCTCTCTCTCTCTCTCTCTCTCTCTCTGTCTCTCTCTCTGTCTCTCTCTCTCTCTGTCTCTCTCTCTCTCTCTGTCTCTCTCTCTCTCTCTCTCTCTCTCTCTCTCTCTCTCTCTCTCTCTCTCTCTCTCTCTCTCTCTCTCTCTCTCTCTCTCTCTCTCTCTCTCTCTCTCTGTCTTTTTGTCTCTATTTGTTTCTCTTTGTCTCTGTCTCTCTCTTAGTACACACACACACACACACACACACACGTACGTCTCTCTCTCTCTCTCTCTCTCTCTCTCTCTCTCTCTCTCTCTCTCTCTCTCTCTCTCTCTCTCTCTCTCTCTCTCTCTCTCTCTCTCTCTCTCTTTTTTTTCTCTCTCTCTCTCTCCCCCTCTCCCTCCCTCCCTCCCTCCCTCTCCACTCAAAGGTAGCCATTATTGATGGGTCAGTTGCTTCTCAGGCATTTTGACTTGCAGTGCTGATTTGACTTGTGAAGACTCATTTTATTATACTAAATGATTTCATTGTGTATTTTCTTATCTCTTCAGTTCTATTCCTTATAAAAACAGTATCCAGGGAAATGAGAAACATTTAGTGTCATATTGAAATATGTCCCAATTTTTATATAGATTATATTCTAGGCTCTCATGACTGTATCTGTTATTTATTTTTCATTAATAGAGTTTCCTTTACAGCAAAATGCATTATCCAGAATTGGAGAACTAACTTCACAATGTCGCCCATGAGTTGTCCATTTTGTAGACAGGAGGTAAGTTTCCGCTTGGCTTTTCTAGTTTCCACAACCTTGCTGTAGATGCATAGTCAATTATTTTAGGGAGAAGAACTTATCTGTAATGTAACATCAAGTAGCTAAATAATGTATCTTGAATTACTGTACATTTCCCCATGGAAGATTTGTAAAGGTATGGTAAGTGCATTGAGAAATTATACAGAAAGGAATATAAAAAAAACATGATTTATAGTTGCTGTTGCAACAATTCTTCATATTCATATTATTACCATATTGCAGGTGACCATACTTTTGCCATGTTTCTCAGAAGGAGAGACAAATACAGCAGAACTTACTGAAGTACAAGAGAGGGAAAGGCAAGTGTCGGACATTCAGGAGTACAATAGGATGTATTCAAAACATCCCAGATCAGTAAGTAACAACTGAAAGGTAGTATTGATGTCATTTTTCTTTTTTTGTTCGTCTATTCCATGTTTTCTCTCTGTCTCTGTCTCTCCCTCTCTCTCCCTGTCTTGTTCTCTTTCCCCTTTCCCCTCTCTCTCTCTCTCATTGTGTCTTCTGTTCTATATGCCTGTCTGTCTAGATTGATTTAATTTCTCATTCTTTCACTTTTGCTCTTTACCCTTTGCATCTTTGTAAATGGTGTTCCATCTTCCCTTCCCTTCTCTCTTTCTCTTTCCTCCTCTTCTCTCTCTCTCTCTCTTTTTCCTCTTCTTCTCTCTCTCTCTCTCTTTCCTCCTCTTCTCTCTCTCTCTCTCTCTCTCTCTCTCTCTCTCTCTCTCTCTCTCTCTCTCTCTCTCTCTCTCTCTCTCTCTCTCTCTCTCTCTCTCTCTCTCTCCTCTCTCTCCTCTCTCTCCCTCTCTCTCCTCTCTCTCCTCTCTCTCTCTCTCTCTCTCTCTCTCTCTCTCTCTCTCTCTCTCTCTCTCTCTCTCTCTCTCTCTCTCTCTCTCTCTCTCTCTCTCCCTCTCTCCCTCTCTCCCTCTCTCCCTCTCTCCCTCTCTCCCTCTCTCCCTCTCTCCCTCTCTCCCTCTCTCCCTCCCTCCCTCCCTCTCTCCCTCTCTCCCTCCCTGCCCCCCCATCTTATTTTAGAACCTTCAGAAAGAGCCAACAAACTTGGGTATTTCGTTCAGTTTTGAATGATCTAATGCATTTAATTGAACTTTGTCATGGTATTTACCTGTAACATCTGGGTATGAAATAGATGTATGAACACTTGTGTCCAGCAATTTTGTACGTATTGTAGTTGCCTTACTATTCTTTCTTTCCTTAGCTCTACGGCCAGCTTCAGGACCTCCCAACCATCCTGCGGCACATCTGGGCTGAGTTGTTCACCTGGCGTGGTGTAGAGATGATCTCCCGCTTCAGAGTTCTGATATGCATAGTCACAGCCATCATTTATGCCATCATGCCCATTGATCTCATCCCTGAAGCCTTTGTTGGCCTCTTGGGGCTCATAGACGATGTAATTGTCATAGCTTTCTTGTTAATACAAGTCAGTGTCGTTTATCGCACTGTAGTGGCCAATAGAGATTGGTAATAGATCCTATTAGCATAAAAAAAAACTTGGCTTTGAATGAGCTTTAATTTCTATACTAATGTATATACAGTGCATATTAACAACAAGGGAGTAAACTGTATTTTATTGTTTGAGTGCCTTCAGTTTTCTCCTCTTTAAGTTTCTTTTTATCACTGGGGTAATTTCCTTAATGAAAACAGGGAAAATACTTAGTTATTCAAGGATCTGTGTAAAAGGAAAATGTTGATTATAGTTTTTTTCCCACAAACTTTATGGTTCAACTTAAAACATTTTCAATTCTAATGCTACCCATGGAACAAATTTTATAATAAAAAAAATATAAAAAAAAGAAAAAAAAAAAAAAAGAAAGAAAATTATATGCAGTAGAAGCAAGAACTTTGGCTAAGAGAAACATTTGGGCCATGCCATGATTGCATAAGGGAATATGGACACACACAAGGGTGGCTTTATGTTGAAGGAAATGAGAACAAAAATGTGTAAGAAAACCATCAGAAGGTGGGGATCAAATCCAAAAGTAAAAATGTTTGGCCAAAACAAAATACTAGTGGTTTGAGACAAGAATTAGAAAATAGTTATTGTCTTATTTAAAGGACAAAGGGAATCCTTGTGTGTACAATTATTATTGGTATTGAAAAATGTTTAAAGTTCTTGCTTCTTCTGTAAATGATCAAAAATAGGTCTTTTCATATTTATGTGCTTTTATATATGTCATGGTGCTATCACTTACCCTAAAGGGATTGTTTTTTTCATTTATCTGTTATAGGCTGTGGTGGTTGAAAATATTTTTTTTCCTTTAGACAATTGTATTTTGTTATTTGCATCAGTTTGATGTGCATTTTGCTGATAACAGTACACTTGCAATTGTCACTTCAAAAATATACAAGTACTTTATATATAAATATATATATCTTGGTTTAAAGGTAGGAAAAAAAAATTATGAACAATAGTGCCTTTTTGTTCCTGAAATGAGTTAGGTGTGAAATACTGACTGCTTACTTCCTTAGCTTGTAATATTTGAACAGATTTTTCCTCACCAGTGCTGCAAACTTTTTCTATTATTTTTCACAGGATCAGTAAATGTTTCAGGTCATAATATTGATTAGACAATGTTTTCCAGTAGTTGTATATACAATGGTCGTACTCACAATACAAGTTTATAATCATCTAAATTCTTAGTGCAAGATATAAAATGTATTGTAACCAGTAATAGCATGGGTTACATATACCATAAAGTCACTTCGGATAGTATTATACACAATTCTGTTAATTGAAAAAAAACTGTGATAACTGATTAATATGCTTAAATATGCATTCTATGTATATTCCTATTCAGAATAGTTTTTACCTTTAGTCAGAGAGTTATGGCTATGCCAGGTGAGCAGCACCAGAACTGTGTTTTGCTGCTTGGACATATTGCAAATAGGATTTTCTACTGCAACTTACAGTAGGATTGTAAGTGAATGAGCACTTTTGTACTGGATCAAGAGGTATTGGAGAAAAGTAGCCTCTTTTATCAAACAAATAAATATCATCATTTTCCAAGGAAACTATGCTTGCTTTGTGGTTTCATTAAAATATTCCTTACATAAAAATGTAATTTTACCAATATATAAGAAAATATAACAAATAGCAAATTGTAGTTGTAATTTAACTAATTTAGAATTATTTTTATTTTTGTTATGATATGATGAAATCTTCCATGTTATTATCATGATTATCTTCAGAATGTTTGCAGGATAAGTATGTAATATCTTATTATTTGATGGATGGATGAAAGTTAGAATTAAGAATTTCTTGGCAAAGATAAAAGAAAAAAACTAATAGATAATAAGTAATGAAGTTCTGCTTTATCACATCTATATCAGCTTCCTTTTTACAATGGTTAATGGTTACAAAGCAAAGTAAATGTGCTAAACATCAAAGGTCATGTAGAACTATGGGAAGGTATAGTAGTGAAAAGGGGGGGGGGGTTAAGTCCATATATAAATCCCCCCAATCCCTTGCCCACTGTTGCCATGGGGGACTTCAGAGGCAAAGACTGAGGCCCAGCATAGGAGATCACTCCTACCTTGGACCTCAGCCCTCAACTCGATTAATTTTGCATGGTCTTTTCTTCTCCTTTCCTTTTCCTTCTTTTCTTCATCCCTTCTTGTGTCCACTTATCCTAATCATTAACTCTTTTTTGCCCTTTTTGCCACAGTATTTTGTCATAATGCTGTGTGACCTTTGATGGCTGGCACATTTGCTTGTTTTAACCATTGACTTGGCCTTTGCTGCCAAGCCCCATCCTATTGCTCTATTTTGAATTACTGCTAATGACCTTAGATGTTGATGCAGTAGAAACATTTCAATAGATCATAAATAAATTACTAAATATGCTACACATCAAAAGTTGTACTGCAGTTTAGAATAGTATGATGTGGAAAAGGCCAATTAGATCAAAGAGCTATTATTACTGGGCATTAGAGAGATAAGAGAGATAGATTATCCCATGTACAAGGAATAGATGGGGTTACCATCCACAGGCAGTGAGGGATTTAAATGCAGGTCAGAGCAATGCACAGCACTGGAGTAGGGAGTGATTCTGTGATTCCTGTCTGGCCTTGCTATAAATTTGATTCTGATATCTGCCACCTCAGAGTCAAACTTGTAGGTAGGGCAGCTCCTATTAAATACACTATGAGTGCCAGCACTATTGGCATAAGTGGATGATTGTGTAGAGCAGTTTGAATAATCATGACCAGCTTGATCGAGTGCAGTGGGCTGTGAAGCAATATTATTTGGCAGGGTGGCCAAGACATCAAATTTGTGACATTGGTGGCAAAGGGGTTGAAATGGCAGGATTCTGCCAATATAATCATCACAGGGAAGGTCATGTCTATGCAGAGTAAATCTGACAATATAGGTGGAGGACTTATGACAGCCTCTAGGGGAAATTGTACTGGCTCCACATCGTAGTCAATGTGCAAGTCATTTCCATAGTCCAACCAATCCTTATCCTAGACAGGGCAGTATGTTAGGGAGATGGCAAAGAAAAGAGTACTCAATAGCTTTGTAAAGATGAAAGTAGTAGAGGGATGAGTACAGGAGAAAGAGGGAGTGGTGTTGAGTGAGTACTGTGGGGATGACAAATAGGATAATGAGTAATAAGGGAAGAGGGGTTAGAAGATTGGGTAATGAACAGGGTGGGTGACTTGGAATGGACTGAGGAGGGGGTAGTCATTAGCAGTGTTCAGTAATGATCAAAGGAGAGCCAATGGTTAGGGAACCATAAAAATTAAAGTTTGTGGGGCTAGCTGATAAAGGGCAAGCCTCATTGCCCCTAATAAGGGTATAAAATAATTATTGGTGATGGTAAGCTTGGAGTATTTTGGGAGAACAGATGGTTCACATATAAGTAAATAACTAAACAGAAAGACTGTGCCCTTGAAGCTGTTCATGACTGATCCAAAGCCAACATTTTTCCTTTCAAACACAGCTCTCACAGCTTAGGATGGTTAATGATTAGAAGAAATAAATGTGCTAGACATCAAAGGTCATATACCGCTATGGTAAGGTATAGTGGCAAAAAGGGTGGAAATGAGTTAACAATCAGAATAAGATGTGTTAAATGTCAAAGGTTGTAGAATACTGTAGGATTGAATATTAGTGGAAAGGATATAGAGGGGGAGCAAATGGAATACAGTGGGGATTTGTAGAAGGAAGTGGTTCAAGGTATAGAGCGATCAGATCAAATGGAGAGTATTTGTCTGAGGAAGGGAGAATAACACTGTATGGGAAAAATGGAAAAGAAAAACAAATGGTAATACAGTAAGAAACGATAGTTGTGGAAGTAGGAGAATAATCTGGAGAATAAAATAAGGAAATGGGAAGGTGATGAAGTATCAGGAAGAATGTCAGGAGGGGAGAGATCAACAGGAGGACATTGTTGTGACATAAGGAAGTCAGGTGAGCATCTAAGTGGGGTGGTAAGGATAATGAGGAAGGAAGAGGGAATTTTAATGCACATGGAGGAGGAGAGGATGAGGTGTATTTTGGGTAAGCAGAAACTTGAGGAGGAGGATGGATACTGGCAGATACTTTGAATGCAGACCAGGTTGGGCACATAGAGGGCAGTAGGATATGGGGCAATAGTGTTTGGCTGGGTGGCCAAAATGCCAGCATTTCTGACATTGACGGGGAAGGGGTTAATATACTTGGACAGGGCTGGACACTTCACTAATGTAAATTTCATGGGGGACGTTATGGAAGTTTAATCTTGGTAATATTGGTGTAGGACTTACATGGGCCTCAAGGAGGAATAGTATAGCACTGGACTGCCACTGCATCATAATCAGACAAGTGAGCAAGTCATTTTAACCGTTTGACCAGGACAATCAGGCGGGGAAATGCAAACAGTCATGCCTGTCAGCATGACGTGTACGTGCGTGTTTTGCCCACTGTGAGTTACTTGTTTAATTGTTTTTATACATAGATGGCTACACTTGTACTAAGTCACCAATGAGCCAATTACTATTACTATCTGTCTCGCCCATTTAACCTTTTCTTTGATTTACGAAAATATTTTACGTTATCTTATTTTGCTATTACTAATGATTGACATTATAGTAATTATAATTAACACCATCGATATTCATAGCACTAGTAAAAAATACATTTTTCCTACCAATTCAAATCAGGTAAGGTCACAAGATCTAATAATTGACTCCTTTGTGGCTAAGCACTAGCAGAGCCCTCTATGTGCAGAGACATTTCACAAAAAACAGAAAATGAGCACAGTATTTTCCCCATTTTTTATTCATATTTCCCGGCACCATTGGGTTAACCTATTTGCGCCGGGTAAAAATGAACAAAGAATGGGGAAAATGCTGTGCTCATTTTTTATATTTTTTTTGTGAAATATCTCTACACTAGATGGCTCTGCCTTACCTGATTTCACCTTTACTTGAATTGGCGGGAAAATGTATTTTTACTAGTGCTATGAATATCGATGGTTATTTTTATTATAAATATTATAATTACTATAATGTTATAAACATTAGTAACAGCAAAATAAGATAACGTAAAATATTTTCATAAATTAAAGAAAAGGGTAAACAGGCGAGACAGGCAGTACAAGTACAAGTCTAGCCATCTATGTGTAAAAACAATTAAACAAGTAAACTCACAGTGGGCATGTCACGTATACGTGACACCCGGCGCGAATGGGTTAAGGGAGTAAGTTTGCCAGTGAGGTCAGTCAGGGTATATAGTGCATGAGCCTGGGACTCCGATGTAACTGTGACAAGACATGAACGATAAGAATGAATGCAAAAGGAAACTGCCTACATGTTTATGGAGATATTGTTGGAAGAGAAGGCTATTGTCAGAGAACAGGGGCTGTAGGGGGAATCACAAAAAACTGATCCCACTTGACTGGGCCAAACAGGGTACTCAAAAGGTTTGTAGAGGTGGAAGCGGAAGGACAAGGATGGGAGGAAGATGAGGTGGTATGGAGAGAGGTAGTACTGTTGGCAGGAGGAAAATATGAAGATAAGGATGAAGAGTAGTAATAAGAGGGGTGGGGGTAGACACTGAAGAAGACTATAGTAGAAGATGGAGTGGAGGATGTTTGGAGAGAGGAAGGGATGCATTCTGAGGGATGAGAAATGACCTGGGTGGATAATTAGGAATGGATAAAATTGATTGCAAACATCAACTAGGGGTATTAGTATCAGTTGGAGCCATGGTCAAAGGAGAGGCAGGGGTCGGAAACCAATGAAATCAAACTTAGATAAGCTAGGTGATGAAGGGGCAAGCCTTAATTCCTCTAATAAGGGTAAAACATCTTCGTTACTGGCCATGATGAGCCAGAAATAAATGGGGAGAGGAAAAGGTCTTCCCCACAGGGTCTCCATGAGGGGTAAGGTCTAGACAATTAACCAAGGGAATACCATGCCCATAGCTCTTGGAGGCTGTTCATGAAAAATTTCTGCCACATCAATATCTAAGCTCATTACCAGCGTATTCAAAATATATTGATAGCATGAGGCTTGGGGGCAAAGCCCCAGGTAAAGAAGTGCAATATGATGTCAAAGTTCATATGGCACTACGGTAAAGTAGAGTAGCAGATGGGGTTAGGAATGAGTTAATGCTTAGGGTAATGTTACAGGATGAACAGTACTAGAAGGTAGAATGGTAGTGAAAGGGGAGAGGGGAGCTGATGGGGTAGAGTGTAAGGTAAAAGTTGTTGGAAGAGGAAGGAGTTAAGGGAGTAGGGAGCATTATGAAGAAGTAATGCGGCAAAAACGGTAAAAAATAGTTTAACAATTTGGATAAGTGGACAACACAAGGGGATGAAGAAAGGGAAAAGGAAAGGAGGAGAAGAAAAGACCATGCAAAATTAGTTGAAGCAAGGGCTGAGGTCCAAGGTAGGGGTGATCCCCAAGAGACTCCTGCTAACAGTCTTTGGCTGGGACACTGATTGACGAGGGAAAGCAATCTGATCTTTGCATCATTTGTACCAGTTTCAAGACCACCTACACCTGCTACAAAGTTTCCTAGCCTTGCTCCAGACTCTAGACCAAAGTAAGGATCAGTTACTCCAACTTTAAGGCCACTAACACCATTTGCTATTCATGCAATGCAATACAGCACTAACTGCTTCCTCTTATAGTACTCTGCTCATATAATGGAAAACATTTTAAATTCATTTCCACTTGAGGTACTTGCTACAGAAATTCAAAGGAGGAGTCCAGAGAAATGAATCCTTACAAATGGTTATCCAAGCCAGGAAGAAGCCAGTATCTTTGCATCCTCATGCTACTGAATAAGCCTAAAGGCTAAAGTCATTACTGGGGAGGAAATCAAAAGACAACTGGAAAAAGAAAATCTAAAAGTCAGAAGAAAAAATGTCCTCTCAGATAATGAGGACAAAGATGACTCTGAGATAATGATGGACTCGGATGAGGTTCTTGCTGATGAAAGTGAGCATACAGATTCTAACCAGTATTGGATGACAACTCCACTGGAAAATTCTGTGCTGTGCATTACTCCAACCCAATCAGATCATATAAATGGGTGAAGAGAAGATTAAAAAAATAATAATAAATAAATATGCAGATGATGATGTATCTGCTATGGAAATTGACATTCTAAGAAGGAAAAGCATTTCTTCATATCCTGCAAAGTTAACTTGGAAAATATCTACACAAAGGACATACAAATAGCTTCTGATTACATATTTTTGAGCTTGCTAAGAGATGTTCTAAATGGCGTGTTCTTTAAGTTTAATGTCATAGATGCTCATGCTGCTTTTGAGAAATACTCTTTAACCCATTTTATGCAGGTGGCAAGACTACAATGCCATGCCCACTGTAATATAAGTTCATCTACTGTCTTTACACACAGATGGCTCTAGGAGTGCTTAGTCACCAAAGAGTTCGTTATTAGTCTTACCAGTCTCACCTGTTTACCATTTTTCTTGACTTCTGGTAAGCTTTATTTTTATTATTTTATTGTCTTTAATATTATTAATATGCAAATAATTTAATAATCATAATTTCAATAAGAACAAAAACAATGTCAATACTAATAGTATTAGAAAAAAAATAATCTTGCAAATTCAAGGAATGGGGAAATAAGGCATGGTCACTATAGCCTAAAATAAACCCACAGGCATTGGGTTAATCCAT